GTTCTATCGCGAAAACAGAGCATGTTACAGCGCACAGCATGTTGCAGCGCAGAGTATCACTTTATAGAGATCTATACTATTCTGTTTTGGTGAGTGGAATCAAAACGTGAATATAATGCAGAAAGATTTGTGGCTGTCTAGACAATACATTAGGGCATCTGTCTGGGTCACAGAGCGGAAGTCAGAGCAACCCTTTTCATCCATTCTCAAGATACCAAACGATTATGTATATATGTATAGGGACTCCATAGAACGGCGCCCCTTCCCCCTCCCCGCACACACACCCCAGATATTGACTTGGTGTTAGTCTTTAATAAATCAGTCTCTGTGTACATTGTACTTATCCGCTCAAGCACGATAGCCCATCCTCGGAATAAACTAGATGCTTTCATTATGATTGATACAGTCAAAGGTTTTTCTTCTTTTCAAGTCGGTCTTTTTACTGCCCTTTCCATACAATTTGGATCTTTTACGAGGCGGGCTTCCGATCATGCCAGTCGAGGGCCAACCAGGGATGAGGGGGATATAACATCCCAGCGAAAAGACAGAGATACTGGGAAACAAATAAATTATTTTCCCCACTCAGGAAACGAACTTGTGTCTCCCGATTGCGACAGTAAAGACTGATTGGTACACCTCAGAATACCCCCGTACATTAATTCATAAAATACTCGGACTCATTGATACATAAAGGAGAAAAGGAGTATGAGTATAATTTGCGATCTTTATTTCCTGTGCGGGAAAGGGGGGGGGGGTGGAAGAGAAGGAGAAGTGAGTTCTAGCAAACACATTTTTCAAAGGTGGGCATAATGTAAACTCATTGATCTAGATTAACTATCAGACTGCAGTGTTATTCTCCAAGTTTTTTTTTCTTGATACACATTTGTTCGTAAACTTGTTTTAAAGTAAACCGTTTCATCTGATCATAATTATGTTATCCAGTTTATAGCAAATTGAATGTAGTTTCAGTTAAATGTCTTTATTTGCCTTCTAGAGAAAAAACAAAAATACTAAAGTGCAAAAGGAAGATGAACTAAAACATATCTCGACATTGTAAAATTGTGCACAATCATCCAAAAACAATAGTCCACAGAAAATAGCAATGTAAGATGTCCTAGAATCATTGCAGTTGTCCGAAAACAAATTTGATAAACAAGTAAACCTTAGCTCCCCCCTCCCCTTCCCCGATAGTTAGATGACTAAACGAAATAAATACGTCAAAAATTGAATTATAATAACTATATTATATGTTAGTAAAAACCAGGAAACGACAAATGCAGTTTTTGGGACACCTGAATAGACATAAGGGTCTTGAAAATCTAGCT